TCATATCAATTTGAAATTAACAACATTTGGTTAGTCACATCTGCACCGGTTGCTTGGTGCCACATTTCTGTGCCCCGCAGGGTTAGGGAAGTCGAATGGTTTCGAGAGGGGAAAACGAGGTGCGAAAGTAAGCTTGAATGTGATAGGAAGTGCAAGACTTTCCAGCACAAGAGTTAAAGCTGAATATTTCTTCTGGTCCTGGTCTTGGAGTGTTAGTAGTGTTGTGAAACTACACCCTCGTTTCTAATGAGAATTTTTATTTTTTTAGCTAAAAGAAGAGAATGCCAGTTTGAGAAGCAAGATCAATAAGCTTCAGATTTTCTCTGAAACTCAAGCAGACAAGTGCGTAAGCCACAGTATGGGGGAAAGTAACCACATAAGCAAGGAGTTGTCTTAGAAGAGGTGCTCACTGGAAACAGTCAACGTCTTTAAAGAAGAAAAATGTAGTTGAAATCTATGCTATTTATTAAAAAGCTTTAATAAACCTGGTTTTCTTATTGAAAAAGGCTTGGAAAGTAAGTAGCAAGCTGGCATCTGTTGAGTGTGCTCGTGTGGCTTACGCTTCATGCAGTTTAGGCGGTTAGCGGAAAGGAGGGTAGGGCTTGACGGGATGCATTTCATAAAGCTTCAGATTAACAAAATGATGAATCTTAGTTTCTCTCCTTTGAAGCAAGAAAAGCATTTTTATTTTTGCTGGTGAGCAACTTGATATTGGGAGACTTGAATTTCCTGAGGTTAAACAACCCGGTGACCGATCCAGGGTGGCAATTCCTTAAGTTCCCATCTGAATCCTCTGCACTGGGCTGCTCCTCGCAGTGAGGCGGCTGGTACTTCCACGGTGATGGGGTAACCGTTTGTTTCAGAATTACCCTTATCTAGGCTGATTGCGGACGGCCGTGTTTTCTGTACGGCCTTTCTGCACTCAGCTATATAGTTCCCGTTAATGCTAATAGCTGTTGAACAAAGAAATCCCCTGAGCCACAGCCTAGAAGTGTACTTCTGCAGGAAGACTTAATGTTTCTTATAAGATGGAAGAATGAGTTTCTTGAACTTCCCTAGAATTTTCTTACTAAGGTATTTAATGCTACAAGTGCTTACTGAACACTGTCTCTTGTTTTTTAAGGATGAGGAAGCTTGAAAGAAAGCTTGAGGAAAACAAAATTAAAGAAGAAAAAGAAGCGCAGGATTTGGAAGCAATGGTGCAGCACGTGGAACAAAATCTCCAGCTGATGACTGTGAGTGTTGGCGTTTGCCATAGTAGCAGAAGCTTGTTCGCAGTTGGAACTGTGCAGTCCCATTCCTTTTCCTTCCTCCCCCGCGAGAGCGAGGGAGGCTGAAGTGATTGCTTCGCCCACTAAACAGCTCTGGCAGGGGTTCAGATTCTTCCCTTACAACGAGACTGTGTCCCAGTCTAGAACTCCTTTCATTACCTAGAATAAGGGAGGTCTTTGCAGAAATACCATTTTCGGGTTCATCAACACCTTCAGTTGCCTTTTTGCAGCCTTCTGAAAACACCTCCTATATGAACCGTTTTTCCTGCTTGCTTATTTATACTGAGTACCTTTTCCTCTTGTCCAAGAAAAAAAAATTGAATGTCCAGAAGTGATGGATGGCACTTGAAGATATCTGAAAGGAAAAATGGGGAGGGGAGGAGGCAGCTGATCAGGCACGGCTGGGTGCACCATCCCCATCTCGTAAAGCATTCGGAACACGAGGTGGTACAACACAAACCATATCCCTTCAAGTTATGTGCTGGAATCATGCATTCCTATGTAGCTCAAACTGCCTGCTGTGCCCTAAAGCACTGCTATGGTATAAATAATATTTATTCTATTTCAGAAACGGGCTGTGAAAGCAGAAAACAGTGCTACAAAACTGAAACAGGCAAACGCGTTACTTCAGGTACGAAGCAGTCAGCATTCTGTATTCTTAGGGCCTCGCTGAACGTCCTGGGGCTGAAAGCATACATCTTGAAATTGAGCCTATAAAATGGTATTGAAAAATTTTAACTATGCTTCATGTTTCCTATATGCTAATGCTATAGAAAACGTTCTAGACTAGAACATTTCAGCTCTACGCAGACGGTTAACTTAATCTCCGGGATGTGTGGTACTTCACTTGCAATTTTGCCGAAGTTGCGTGTGCTGTTCAAATGCTGTTCGATCTTTGGGAGCTGTGAATGCCGTGATGCAACAGGGCAAGTGGGAGTGCAGCTGTAGGAAGGCACCTGACAGAGAAGGGAGAGGACCTGGGGAGCTGTTGGTCGACAGCCGGCTGAACATGAGCCGGCAGTGTGCCCAGGAGGCCAAGAAGGCCAAGGGCATCCTGGCCTGTATCAGAAATAGCGTGGCCAGCAGGAGCAGGGAAGTGATTGTGCCCCTGTACTCGGCACTGGGGAGGCCGCACCTCGAATACTGTGTTCAGTTTTGGGCCCCTCACTACAAGAAGGATGTTGAGATGTTGGAACGTGTCCAGAGAAGGGCAACGAGGCTGGTGAGGGGTCTGGAGAACAAGTCTGCTGAGGAGCGGCTGAGGGAGCTGGGGTTGTTTAGCCTGGAGAAAAGGAGGCTGAGGGGAGACCTCATCGCTCTCTACAACTACCTGAAAGGAGGTTGTAGCGAGGTGGGGGTCGGTCTCTTCTCCCAAGTAACTGGCGAAAGGACGAGAGGAAACAGCCTCAAGTTGCGCCAGGGGAGGTTTAGATTGGACGTGAGGAAAAATTTCTTTACTGAAAGAGTGGTTAAACATTGGACCAGGCTGCCCAGGGAAGTGGTTGAGTCACCATCCCTGGAGGTATTTAAAAGACGGGTAGATGAGGTGCTTAGGGACATGGTTTAGTGGGTGTGGGGGTGTTGGGTCGACGGTTGGACTCGATCTTGGAGGTCTCTTCCAACCTTAATGATTCTATGACTCTGTAACGGATAGCTCAGCAGAGCCTGCCTAGCATTAGGCGGTAGCATCGGGGTCAGGTAACAGCTTCCATCCCCACCCTCGGAGCTGGAATACGCCGCTCCAACACCGGGTTGGTTCAGGGAAACAAGCGGACTTGAGGGCTGCTGGCTGGCAGGCTGTCACGAAAACGTACGTCTTCCGTTTTAATAAAGGCTTCGAAGCTGCAGTTCTCTGTCAGGGGCTGCTCCCCAGAGCTGGGAAGACGTTCTCTCTAGGCAGTCTGGTTATGGGATCAGTTCGTTAGTTGTTGTACCTAATAAATTGCCGTATGAACGCGTTCATTAGCTGCAAAGCATCTGCTGGAGTTTTGTGGTTATTTTCACGTCAGGTGTGTGTTTGTTTCCGCCCTAGGTTCAGCTGCAGAACTGCAGGACGGAGAATGAAGCCTTGAGGTCGGGCCAGTCGGCGAGTCTGGCCGCCGTGAAACAGAACGCAGACGTTGCCTTACAGAACCTTCTCACGGTCATCACGAACTCCCGGTCCTCAATAAAGTGAGTTGTTTTAAGACTCTCCTAACGCTATCCCAGGTGCTCGTCCTAACGCCGAGGTCACAGCCCAAGTGTTTTTTTTAGGATTGAAACTCGGGTTCTTGTGTTGTGTATGCCGGGTCAGCTAGTCCACGTTCTTACTTACCTGCCACGTGTTTTCTTCCAAGTTTAGGTAATAAAAAGAACTAGAATGTGCAGGTCTTTTTTTTTTTTTTTACTTAATGTAAAACCGTTAGAGTCTCTAAGTCTCTTACACTTCGCTTCTCTGAGACTCTTGCGCTTCGCTTCAAGAAGTGAAGTCTTCAGTCCAGATAAACCAATTCTTGAAAAAATCACATCACGCGGGCGAGCACCACCAAAACGCTGCCCGGCCACTTCCTCCTCCCCTCCTCATCTAACGCTGTCTCTCTCCCGCATTCCAGGCAGCTGGTCTCCGGGGCGGAATCGCTGCAGCTGGTCGCTGATCTCCTGAAATCGATAGACAGCATTTCTGAAGTGTCACAAGATGGACAGTGACACTGCGAAACGGACTCGAATGGAGAACGGTGCTTTCACGCACAAACCGTTACTAAAAAGTCAGTTTCTGACGCTCCGGCCTCCTCACGGCGCGCGAGGCTGTCGGTGCTCCTGCGGAACCGGCCCTTCCGTCCCCACCCGCCCTGCAGCCAAAACCCGA